CCCTGCTCTCTTGATGGTTTCTTTGGCTTTGCAGAAGTTTGTCAGTCTGATGAGGTCACGCTTGTCTATCTCATCTCTCATGGCATGGGCACTTGGAGTTTTGGTCAGGACTTGGTTGCCATTCCAATTTCCATAAGGGTGTCTCCTGTACTTTCTAAGGTACTTATAGTTTGAGGTTTTACGTTTAGATCTTTGATCCATTTAGAGTTGATTTTTGTGTGTGGTGATAGGTAGCATGTGGTCAGCCAGTTTTCCCAGCACCATTTACTGAATAGGTTCTCCTCTCCTCGGTGGTTGGTGGTGGAGACTTTGTCGAAGATGAGTTGGTTGAGAAATTGAGGTTTTGCTTCTGGAATCTCTATCCTGTTCCATTGGCCTATATGCCTGTTCTTGTACCAATACTGTTTTGATTATTGTAACTTTATAATAAAGTTTAAAGTATGGGCATGTACAGAGCTTTAGAGTAAGTCAGTAAAGTTAGTCAAATAAGTCTCTGACTCAAAAAAAAAAAAGAGAAAGAAATCTAAACCAATATTGCCATATCTAAAACCAGGCATTTGAAATATAGATAGTAAATTTGGTTATTTGAAATACCTAATATTTGATTCATATGCTAAAATAGTAGTTAGCTGTGATTAACTGTATAAAATGATAGCTACATTACACAGAAGCTCTAAAGATCATTATTAAGACAAAAGTTGATAACTACAAGTTTAATTTTATTTAATCTTTATTTTTAGAGACAGGGTCTCACTCTATCACCTGCAGGCTCAGGCAATCAACTCATCTTGGCCTCCCAAAGTGCTGGAATTACAGGCTGAGACACTTTATGAAGTGCCTGTTAAGACTTTTGTCCATTTTTTCCAAGGGGTCACTTGCCTTTTTATTATTGGTCTGAAAAATTTATTTAGAGCTTCTGAATACAAAATTTTTGTTGGGTATATGTATTACAAAAGTCTTCTACTTTATGACTTGCCTTTTCACTTTGGAATTTTATCTTTGGATAAGAAGTTCTTAATTTTAGTGTCCTATATATCAATTTTTTTTGGTAGGTTGGAGTGATAGGCTGGATGCAGTGGTATGGTCATAGCTCAAGTAATTCTCCTGCCTCAGTTTCCTAAGGAGTTAAGACTACAAGTACGTGCTACCACACTTGGCTAATTTTTTAAAAAAAATTTTTGGTAGAGACAGGGTCTTGCTATGTTATCCAGGCTGGTCTTGAACTCCTGGCCTCAAATGATCCACACCTCCTGCTTCAGTCTCCCAAAGCACTGGGGTTATAGGCATGAGCCACCACACTGGTTCAACTACAAATTTTAAATTTAGGATTAACTGTGTTTGCTTCCCTTATAAATATAACTCATATCTACTAATCTCATATTACTCATATCTACTGATAAATTCTCATTAATTAAAAATAACTTTAAAAGTCCTTTGCACTTATACTACCAGATACAAAGATATATTATGAGGCAGTAGTAATCAAGACATGTGATGCAAGGACAGAAAAACAGACCAATTGAAGAGATTATAGAGTCCAGAAACAGATGTACACATACATAGTTATTTCATCTTATGACAAAGGTGATCTTATAAAGCAGTAGAGGAAGGAGTGGTCTTTCCAGTAAGTGATGCTGAATTAGTTGGATGTCCACATGTAAAAATATAAATCTTGACTCCCCATCTCACACCATAAACAAAATCAACTCTAGTTGATATAAACAATCAAATGGAAATGATCAAATAATAAAGTTTTAGGAAGGAAGCACAGGAGAATCTCTTTATGACCTTGCTTAAGGCAGGCAAAAATTTCTTAAACAGTACTCAAAAGTACTAATTGTAAGGAAAAAAAATTGATAAACAGGACACTAAAATTAAGAACTTCTTATCCAAAGATAAAATTCTAAAGTGAAAAGGCAAATCATAAAATAGAAGACCCTTGTAATACATATACACAACAAAAATTTTGTATTCAGAAGCTCTAAATAAATTTTTGAAACCAATAATAAAAAGGCAGGTGATTCCTTGGAAAAAATGGTCAAAAGACTTAACAGGTACTTCATAAAGAAGAATATCCAGACTGGGCTCGGCGGCTCAGCCTGTAATTTCAGCACTTTGGGAGGCCAAGGCGAGTGGATTGCCTGAGCCTGTGGGTTTGAGACCAGCTTGGGCAACTTGGCGAGACCTCATCTCTCCAATAAATAAAAAATTAGCCAGGCATGGTAGCATGCGCCTGTAGTTCTGGCTACTTGGAAGGCTGAGGCGGAAGGGTCGCTGGAGCCCTGCAGGTCAACACTGGGGTGGCCGTGAGTGTGCCAGTGTACTCCAGCCTGGGTGACGGAGTGAGACTCCGACTTAAAAAAAAAAAAGAAAGAAGAAGAATATACAAATGGGACTGCTCAGCAGTCCCCAGTCTTTTGGCATCAGGCACCGGATTTGTGGAAGACAATTTTTCCACAGATTGGGGTATGGGGGGAAGGTTTTGGGATGATTCCAGTGTATAAAATTTATTGTGTATTTTTTCTATTATTATTATTGTTTTTGTGTGTGTGGGTTAGTCATGACCTAGGTGCCAAACTTGCAACCACACTTTTATTATTATTACATACATAATTAAACAATTATACAACTTACCACTTAAAAAAAGAGGTGTGGACAGAAGTGGTAAACAAAATAATGGGTGGGCCACGCATGGACTAAAGTGTCGGATTCTGACTTAAAGCCTGCCATCAGATGTAGCTATACAAATGAAGTACATCAACTCACTTGCCAGTCACTGATAGCGTTTTTATGAGTCTGCAAGCAACTGATTTATTATGGTCTCTGTGCAGTCAAACCTTACTGCTAACGTGAATCTGTATTTGTAGCCACTCTCCAGCATTAGCATCACCACCTCCACTCCACTTCAGATCATCAGGCATCAGATTCTCATAAGGAGTGTGTAACCTAGATCCCTCACATGTGCAGTTCACAATAGGGTTCGTGCTCGTATGAGAATCTAATGCTGCCACTGATCTGCAGGCGGAGCTCAGGTGGTAATGCAAGTGATGAGGAGTGGCTGTAAATACAAATGAAGCTTTGCTCATTCTCCTGCCACTCATCTGCTGTGCAGCTCAGTTCTGTGGCCCAGGGGTTAGGGACCCCCACACTAGACAACTGAAAAGGTACAACTTTTTTACTTACCAGAGAAATACAAATTAAAATCACAATGTGATACTACGATATATCCATCACAAAAACTAAAATCAAAGAGACAAACAGTAACAAGTGTTGGTGAGGATATAAAGCAACTAGAGCTCTCAAATGCTGCAGCAGGAAGTATGAATTACTACAAACATTTTGGAAAGCTGATTAGCTGAATAACACATATGATTCTAAAATCTTACTTCTACATAGAAGAGAAATGCATTTAATATGTATATACATATATACACATTTTTCTACCAAAAGGCATTTATACAAGGATGTTCATAGAATCATTATTCATTATAGTCCAAAATTAGGACTATAATAACAAAGTTGCTACAAATAATATAGATCGATCTTTCAAATACAATGTTGAGAGAAAGACGACAGACAAAATAGTAATCCCATGTGACTCCAATTATATAAAGTTGAAACATTTCATTATATAAAATCCAAAGTCTGTTTTGTTAAAAGTTAGGATAGTGGTTACTTTTTCTTTTTGAGTCTGTCACTCAGACTGGAGTGCAGTGGCACGTTCACGGCCACCGCAGCCTCGCCTTGTTGGGCTCAGGTGATCATTCCGCCTCAGCCTTCCAAGTATTTGGAACTACAGGTGTGTGCCACCATGCCTGGCTAATGTTTTGATTTAATGTAGAGATGAGGTCTCATCAAGTTGCCCAGGCTGGTCTTGAACCCCTGGACTCAGACAATCCTCTTGCCTCTTCCTCCCAAAGTGCTGAGATTACAGGCTTGAGCCACTGTGCCTGGCAGGATAATGATTACTCTTATGGGAAGTGGGTGACTGGGAGGGACTTGAAGGCATTAGGGGACTTTTAGGATGTTGGTAATGTTATAGTCTGATGTGGGTGTTTGATTACATGGGTATTTCATTTTGTAAAAATTCAGTAAGCTGTACAGTTATAAATTGTGTACTTTTCTGTTTGTATGTTATACTTCAACAGTCTACTTTAAAAAACAAGCCTTCCCGGGCCTTTGGGAGGCTGAGGTGAGTGGATTGCCTGAGCCCGTGGGTTCGAGACCAGCCTGGGCAACTTAGCGAGACCTCATCTCTACAATATATCAAAAAGCAGCCAGGCATGGTAGCGTGCGCCTGTAGTTCCAGCTACTTGGAAGGCTGAGGCGGAAGGATCGCCGGAGCCCAGCAGGTCGAGGCTGCGGTGGCCGGGAGCAGCCACTGCACTCCAGTCTGGGTGACAGAGTGAGACTCCAACTCAAAACAAAAAACAAACAAACAAAAAACAAGCCTTGCAATAATGTTGAATATCATCTTTTTGTTGTTGTTCCCAAAAATATTTTAAGGACAAAATAATACACAATGTGAAATGATATTCTGCTGAAGCCCCACCAGGAGTCTCAAGGTATAATGGAGGATCCTCAACTATATTTCCATTTCCTATCATCCAAATCTTCTGAATTAAAATAACTAATTATAAAGTAAAAGGCAAAGAAATAGACTTAGTCTAGGTAAGTGATAAATTATGCCAGGAAAATTAAGAACTGTAAATAAATATAAAAATACCTAGTTGTTCCAACACTGTAACTAAAGTTTTGCAATATAACCAGAAGTTAAGGCAAAAGAGAAAAAAGAAATTAATTAATTAAAAGGAAAATAATCTGGTAAAAAAAGTTTCATCATTTGGCAAAAAGACCATCACCTTACAAATATATACAACATATACTACATTGTCTGGCAAAGTCAAACTGTTTTACTACTCAGTGTTAAGAATACAGTACCTGTTCAATATTTTAAAACACATTGCAATCACAAACCATTTTTCTTTAATTTTACTTACTCAGTGTATTGTGGTCTGTGTGAATACCTTGTACAACAGAAGTTCTGAGTAACAATTCAACATCGGAACCTATTTTTATTAGCTGTTAAGAAAAACAAACAAATAATAGATTCCTTAGGTGTTTCATATGAATGCATTCTTTTTGAAACCTACAGTTTTACTATAATTTCTTTTTAGATAATATAGTAATTTCTTCTCATTTGTGCTCTCAGTTACCCGCAGTCAACTGCAATCTGAAAATATGAAAATTCCAAACAAAAAATGGGCAAGTTTTTAATTGCATATGTCATTCTGAGTCACATGATGGAATCCTGTGTCAGCCCCTCCATCTCACTTGCAAAGCATCCATTTGTCCAGCGAATCCACACTATATACGCTGTCCACTCCTCATTCACTTAGTAGCCATCATGGTTAAAAGACTGATTATCAATACTACAGTTCAAATGTTCAAGTGGCCCTTTTTTAACTTAATAATGGTCCCAAAGCACTAAAGTACTGTGTCTGATTTATAAAGTAAACTTCATCATAGATATGTATGTATAGGAAAAATATAGTAGAGATAGGGTTCCATACTATCAGCAGTTTCAGGCATCCACTGAGAGTCTTAGAATGTATCCCCCAAGGATAAGGACAACCACTTTATCACTTTCAACTTTTTTATAACCATTTCCAGCAGTAGAGAAAGCTTACATTTGTGTACAGTTTTAACTTTTATATATCCATTCAGTATTTTGTTCCTAAACAGATTTAGAATATTTTGTTTTAATGTATACTTAAAAATGTGTTTTAAATGCACATTTTTTGGGGAGAATATCCAATCTTTCTTTTAGAGTTGGATGTTCTGAACACTAGAAAGAATACTGGTTCAGGAGTTAGAACACTTGAATTCCAACTCTGGCTCTCATTAAGTGTGTGGCCTTGGGTTAATCCCCTAACTCTTTGAATTTCAGACCCCATCAAATGTTGTGGAATTGAGAGATTCTGAGACCCTTTCAGAGATCTGCAAAGTCAAAATTATTTTCAAAACACTAGCCTATTGCATTGCTAGAGTTGTGAGCTGAAGTAGTGCTTTCTCCATGGAAATACCATTTTTACTTCAAAGAACCACAGACAAACTAAGATTATTCAGACTTAGCTACTTGGTAGACATTTTCTTGAAAAAGTAGAGTGTGTCACTTCAAGGAAAACAACTGACAGTATTTGCTGACAATGATAAAATGCAGCAAAAAATCGGAATTCTGGAGAATTTGTATCTGCCATGATGAGCTTGAAAGCTTCATAATACTTAAAGATTTTTGTGATGAGTTGGATGATATTAATAGATATAATTTTAAAATAGTATACAATGAACTATTTCAACATTTGGAAGATCTGTACTACTTAGTGAAATCTGAATTTTTTTTTTTTTTGAGTTGGAGTCTCACTCTGTCACCCAGACTGGAGTGCAATGGCTGCTCCTGGCCACCGCAGCCTTGACCTGCTGGGCTCTGGCGATCCTTTCGCCTCAGCCTTCCAAGTAGCTGGAACTACAGGTGTGCACTACCACGTCCGGCTAATTTTTGATTTGTTGTAGAGATGAGGTCTTGTCAAGTTGCCCAGGCGGGTCTTGAACCTGTGAGTTCAGGCAATCCACTCACCTCGGCCTCCCAAAGTGCTGGGATTACAGGCTGAGCCACTGAGCCTGGACAAAATCTGAATTTCCTAAATCATCAGTGCATGCTACAAAATCATGCATGAGTAAAAAAAAAAAAAAATCCATTAAAAGAGAAATAGAGGCCAGGCGCCTGAAATCCTAGCACTTTGGAAGGCCAAGGTGAGAGGATTGCCTGAGCCCAAGGGTTCAAGACCAGCCTGAGCAACTTGGCAAGACCTCATCTCTACAATAAATTTAAAAATAATTAGCTGGGCATGGTAGTGCGCACCAGTAGTTCTGGTTACTTGGAAGTCTGAGATGGAAGGATCGCCAGAGCGTAGCAGGTCGACGCTGGGGTGGCCATGAGTGTGCCACTTTCCTCCAGCCTGGGCGATGGAGTGACACTCCAACTCAAAAAAAAAAGGAGAGAAATAGAGACTAAAATCCATTGGTCTACATAAATGAAACCTGGAGGGCATGTGAGAGAAGATCATCCCAGGGAGAGGCAATGGCATAAAGACCCCAAGACAGGAGAGTTCTTCGTAAATTCAAAGACCCTCAAATAATGCAGTGAGATCGGAAAAGCGAGGGGAATGTGATTCAAGATGAGGTAGGAAGGTACCAGGGGTGAGATGACAGTCTTGTGAGTCATGGTAGGCACTTCAGATTTTTCTTTGAATGGGATGAGGAGCCACGGGGATTGAGTAGAAGAGTGGTGGGATATGCCTTTTTAAAAAGGCTCACTCTGTCTTTAAAAGTGTTATGAATAGGCTGTAAGGCGTGAGGGTGGAACAGAGGGACCCAATGGGAGACTGTTGTAAAAACCTAGAGAGAGATGACGGTGGTTTGGACTAGGAGATAATAACGGGAAGGATGAGAAGTGGTCGAAGTTCTACACATATTTTTAGGGTTAAGTTAATGAGATCTGTGGACAGATTGTATGCTGGATGTAGTATAAGGGAAGAGAGCAGTCAAGAAAGTACCAAGGTTTTTTTTTTGTAGTTGCTTGCTTTTTGAGTCAGGGTCTCACTCTGGTGCCCAGGTTGGAGTGCAGAGGCATGCTCATGGCCATTGCAGCCTCAACCTGCTGTGCTCAGGCCATTTTGCACCTCAGCCTTCCAAGTAACTGGAACTACAGGCATGCGCCATCACGCCCACCAAATTTTTTGGTATTTTGTAGAGACCAGGTTTTACCAAGTTGCCCAGGTTGATCTTAAATCCTGGGTCCAGGCAATCCTCTTGCCTTGGCCTCCCAAAGTGCTGGGATTACAGGTGTGAGCCACCACATTCAGCCTATAACCAAGGACTTAGGTCTGAGCATCAAAAGGAGGAAACTGCCATTAATTGACTTGGAGAGGCTGTGGAAGAGCAAAGCCTCACCTTTTGACACCTGGGAAAGGGCTTCGCAGGACAGAGAAAGAAGAAAAAAAGTAGGCCTTCTCACCCACTGGAGGTACATAAAATAAGTTGAGTCCTAAATCTAAGGCTGGAAACAAGGCTAGATGAGGAACAAGGGATCAGGGAAGACTAGAGGGGATGAGCAGAAGGTGGTCTGTATGAATCCTGGAGTCAAAAAAACCAAAAAACAAACAAAGCCCATTGGTTTAACAGACTACAGAGTTCTGTTACACTGCAAGTAAGCTTTACAAAACTACCACTTGTTGTGGTATAATTATCAAGAAATATTCGCAATAACTGAAAAGGCTATTATATACTTCTATCCTTTTCTAACTATATATCTGTGTAAGGCTGAATTTTCTTGATATATTTAAAACTAAAAAACATGTCATATTGATTGAATGAAGAAGCAGATATGAGAATATAACTGACTTCCAAGTAAGCCAGAGAGACATTAAAGAGATTTGTAAAACTGTATAACAATGCCATCCTTTTCACTAAATTAAAAAAAAGTTATTTTTCATAAACATTATGTTTTGTTTTTTTTTTTGAGTTGGAGTCTCACTCTGTCGCCCAGACTGGAGTGCAGTGGCCGCTCTCGGCAACTGCAGCCTCGACCTGCTGGGCTCTGGCAATCCTTCCGCCTCAGCCTTCCAAGGAGCTGGAACTACAGGCGCACGCTACCACGCCCAGCTAATGTTTTTGATTTATTGTAGAGATGAGGTCTCGCCAAGTTGCCCAGGTGGGTCTCGAACCCGTGGGCTCAGGCAATCCACT